CAGTCACTGGGGTGAACCTCACTATCACAAACCAGTGCAGAAATCTGACTTTTCATGTTTCTTTACATGTTAAACATGTCAACTCACTTTCTTCATCTTTCTCTCTCTCTCTCTCTCTCTCTCGCTCTCACACACAGGTTTGCTGTGGCGTTCACTGATAAATTGAAAGAACGCGCCAAAGTGCTCTTTGTAAGAAACGTTAGGGTTTACAGCTCTGGGTTCTTACAACTTCTGTTGTTGCCAGAGCAAACTTTCAGCAGATGTCAAGAGCCCTTTTCATACATGTACTATATATGAACTGCTGTTCAGAGTGCAGTAAAGAGGTTTAAAAAGTTTGTGAAATCAGTATTGACTTTTTGTTGCACAAGATAGAATGCTGTGTAAATATATTCAAACAGAAATTAGTCATTTCAAATTGTAATAAAATTGTACAATATTACTGTTTTTACTGTATTTTTGACCAAATGCAGCTTTGGTGAGCGTAAGAGAAGTCCAAAAAAATATATATATATATATTTACCAACTCTAAACTTTGAACTGTAGTGTATGTAGTAGAAAATGTCCTAATTACACTTAAAGTATAGGCACATTGAAAGGATATTGAGTAAATGAGGTAATAAAAATGGCAGTGTTTATTCCTAATGGGTCAGAGAAGAGGAAAAAAGGAGAGAAACAGACAACTACTGCGCTAGCTGATGCTATAAATAATACAAAAGGATTTAACAGCTACAGATGCAATATTCTGCCTTAAATCCTGTAATAGCACAGCATTAAAATCACTATTTCCATGTTTTATCCTCAAATGAAACCCCAGATACACAAGTCAAGGCAAACAGGATGTCTCTGTTTTTGTCACACACACACACCAGGGGTCTCCCTCTCCCAGGACTGATAACATCCAGCCAATTTCCCCTCTATCTGTGTGAAATGATCCACTTTATCTCAACCAGCCATTTACATTTTATTCTTTTATTACCTTCCAGCTGCTCTATTGTTTTTGTTAGTTTTTTTCCCTCAGCTGGTATTGATTTAGGCAAATCATGGATTCGCTGTGCTGCACAGAGATTTTTTCAGCAGATTTTTTTCTGTTATTACATTAGCCAAGGACATGTTTTGGGCGTGAATTTTGAACATGGATAACTCTATTATCATAAAAAGAGAAATTCTAACGATTGACATTTAGGTTTATTTTCATCTGCAGGGCTTTCAGGGTCATTCATAAAGTAATATTAATATCTAAAATTAGTAAAATAATAATACGAATTATTATTATTAACAGTTTTTTTTCCTAGTGAACATGAACTAGTGGAGAAGTCATTGAAATTAATTAGTCAGTAGGTTGGGAACGCACATCTTACACTACTACAAATGTCCAGTAGGGATCTAACATTTATTTCTTGACCATTTTTTCCAGGTATGTGAGAGCAAGAAGATCTATGTACAGCCTCAAGGTAGAGTTTATTAATACTGCAAGTTGTGGGCCAACTGCATTTTTGAAAGCTCCTTGAATATTTTTGAAATATAATATGTTATGTAATTATTGAAACGTCTACATATGTTTCCAGGGATTGAGACCAGAGTGGCATCACATTTCAGCTGGAGTGACTTTTTACACAGCACAGGTGCATCGCCTTCACCAATACTGCTCTCCACTTAATGGCCTACATCATTACATATACGATAGACATACAGGTAGAAGAGCATTAGATGACCACGTTTTATTAATAAAGACAGATGTCTGTATGTTAATGCACTGTGTGTGTATTGTCTGTCTCAGAAGATCAAAGTGTCTGAGGTTCTGTAATTCTTACACCTCTCAAACACTCTGATGATTTTGATAAGCAGCAGACGTCGCCCCATTAAATATACATGTGGTCTTCAGCCCTCAACACACTTGAAACAGGCTCAGGAGCCCTCAACCTTGATTAGAGACAACCTGATCACCTCCAGGAGTGAAGAGGGTGTGCATGTGAGTCTGTACATGTATAACATGCATATTTATTTTGAGATGGGGCAACAGAGTAAAAGAAAGAAATAGAAAGAACAAAGATGTATTTGAACTTACGATATCACTATTGCCTGTTTTGGTGATTTAAACATTTAATCCATCATTTTCCTCTACTTAGAGGTTTTGTTTTTTGGTCAGAGTGCTTCACATTCACTTTCTTCGTGTTTCATATAGCAGACAGAAAGGTTTGTTGGTTTTATAGAAATTTGTGTAAATGTCTTCACAGTCAAATCACAGTTTTGTAGAATTTTTTTTCTTCTTTTAGATAATTCTCACAGATATACCATGGTCTTTTGGACAGGATAAGCGATTTTGAAATGGGTGTGGGTGTGTCTGCTGCACACTTGCCGACACAGGTAACAGCCAACAAAATAATTATGCAGGAAATATTAAACATGGACATATAGCTGGTATTACTATCAGAAATTGATTCGGATATACAATTAATATTACAATACAAGCCTCTGTTAATATTGCTGTATGTTGTATTGAAATTCAAAGCTTACCATGCATCATCTTGGAAATAAAGCTCATGTCTTTAAGACTGTACAGTATGTAGTCAGTGTTATTTCTCTGAATAAGTTATGATGCGTGTGTTTTTTTATGTTCTAATGGAGCAACGTTTGGACTACAAAGCATATTTTCCGGGATTTGTGATATCACAA